CCTGGTTAATCGTAACCTGATTATACACTCTCAATTCATATACCAAGCCTTAAAACACTTTCATAATCAAAGTTCCAAATCTCGATTCAATGTCGAGTGATTTTTCAAAACTCTTTTCTCGAATAAATAAGGGTTTCATAGCAGGGGTAAGCACATGCCTATTCTCTCGAGGTTAATCAAGGATAAGTCATGTGACTTATATTGATTAATCATGACCCGACTAAAATATCCTTAAATAAAATGAATTTAATTCTAATTCAATAACAGAAAGGGAGGGGGAAACATGACCCATCTCTCTCGTGAGCGTCGAATACAAGGAATGTCTTTTGATATTCATTTTTCACCTACTGTTAAGGGGTTAGACTTAAAGTTGCCTCACTCTTTCAAAATAAACAAAAGACTAAATGGGAGGGATAGGGTACCTACTTTATCCCGCCCTAAGTGTTCGTGTACAAGGAACTTCCTTTAGTATTTCAAACACTCGTGTCTTATAAAAGCAACTCAACCTCATTCAAACTTTTTGTTCCCTTGTGCACTCTTCTCTTTAAAATCAACCAACAAACAATCTTTTCTTTTCAAGAAGAACTACGGAGTTCTGACTTTCCCATTGCACGAGGGAGTACATAGGCACAAGTTATCTTGGCGAACTCAAAATAATCAAAAAACAAACCCTTTATTTTCTCTTCTTTCTTTAATAAGATTGTAAGTATCACACTAAACACTTAAATACACACGAGCTAAATTGTTCCCATCGAGTACGATAGATGTGAGGGGTGTTAATACCTTCCCCTTACATAACCGACTTTCATACCCTTTTCTTGGTTGCGATGACCATTTGTTTAGCGGATTTTACTCGATGGTTTCTCGTTCCTTTTGGAACAAATAAATATCGATGGTAACTTTATTGTATTGAAATTTTTAGCCAGCTTATGAAAGATACACATTGATAGAGTTGAACCGTTTAGGTTATAACCTTACCCTGAGGACCAAGAGCCTGAGGTGGACACACATGAGGCATAATTTCTTAAGATGCAGGCGATTTAGTCAAAGGTATATCCAAGAGGTTCGTATAACACATCAATATTGTGTTATTATGGGAAACACGTGATCAGAGATATTTGGTAGGGAAAGGTATCTTACATCTCAAATGTATTGTATTATGTTTACTTCTTGCTTTATGTATTCTTCTAATTAATCTCATTATTTTTCTGGCACATGATAGGTCATTGGGATGATAATGACACTTAATGCCATGTCATGACTTTTGTATTTCATCATCCACTAACAACTCATTCGTCATACTACTATTACCAAAGATAAATGAGTGGTGTTGTTGGTCGAGCTACTTCGCACAAACCCGGAGAAAGCCCTTTATGAAGTTGAAAAGATCATAATAGGTCATGCACGATTCAACTTCTTCAAAGATGAGTTTATCAAACACATGTTATTTGTGAGTGTTATAGAGGATGATGTCATTGATGTAGATGCTCACGTGCACATTCAATTTTCAATTAAGGCGTATCTACTATTTCTGGTGGACTCAACCATTTTAATTAATATAGCACCATCTACACCCACGTTGTTTATCTTTGGTTTTCTAGTGATTTAGAGATGGTGGATGACTACATATGGCGAAAATACATTAAATTTTTTTATAATAAGATGAATGTTGCGACAAAAATCAAGACATGGCAGCTAGCAGGTAGGGGTGAGAATAGGCTAGACAGGTCTACAGGGACCTATGGCCTAGCCTATTTGAGGTCAGACCAGATCAGGCTTATTTACTAAAAAGGTCAGGCTTGGGTTTTTTTAAAAGCCTATTTAATTAAATAGGTCAGACTTAGGCTATTAAAAAAGTCTATGAGGCCTTATAGGCCGACCTATTTTTTTGTATATATTAAAAATAGGTTGAAATATATATATATATATATATATATATATATATATATATATATATATATATATATATATATATTAGAAAAAAATGCTAAATATGTCGACCTATATATGCATATATAGGTCGACCTATAAGGCTTCTTAACTAATATGGATTTATTGAAAACCTTAATGAGAAACAGACTTTTAAATAGGCTTTCAGGTCAGGCCAGACTTTTAAAAAGGCCAGGTTAGGCTAAAAAAATAAGCATATAGTAAGCCATAGGCCAGACTCAGGCCTTGTAAGTTTATCTTAGGCCATACTCAGGCCTTATAAAGCCTAGCCTATTTCCACCCCTACTAGCAGGATACACGACATTGCTTAAAGTAACATTTTAATGTAATTTGAATTTTTTTGCTTCTACTGGAAAAATGCCAGACACAATGTGTGGAAGAATGTTTATGAGAAGATTAAAACAGTAACAAATAAAATGTGAGTAAAGTAAAAGGATACAAGAAATTGATAACGCAGTTTGGTGCAAATTCATCTACGTTTGGAGTGCATTAACCCAATAAAGGAAATCCACTTTTAACTGTAAAAGTAGAAATTGGTCTTAGTTAAACCCTTCTAGTTCAAAACCTTTTTTTCTTAATACTACCAATGAATTTCTATTTAGGACTCCCCCAGAATATGATACCCCTCTCACTTTTTCTCAAGCATTTTCCCAAGTGTTTGGACAATTACAATATAGTATGACTGATGAACCCAATTACAACTCAAAATTAACTTTATTCCTCTATATAGGAATGACACTGGGGAATAGAGTTTCACAACACAAACAATCAATAAAAACAAAATACTTAGAAAACTAAATACACATTGCTTGTTGTCTTAAGGTCTAAGTATTTTTACATGGATAACTCCTTAAATAGAATACAATTCAGTTGCATGGCCCGTTAGGGTTTTGAACATTTCATGTGGATGAAACAAATTCAAAAAGCGCAATACATTAATCTCCATTAATTTGATTTGTAATATTTGATATAGTAAATCTCCATCAATCTTATTTGTTCTTTTTAAATCTTGAAAATTATTCATTTGAGAAATCTTTCCTTATTTCAATAAATGCATAAAATAAACAAATAATAAAGGAAATAAATCTTCATCTGGCGTGAGATTTACTATATATATATATATATATATATATATATATATATATATATATATATATATATATATATATATATATATATATATATATATATATATATATATATATATATATATATATATATATATATATATATATATTAGAAAAAAAATGCTAAATATGTCGACTTATATATGCATATATAGGTCGACTTATAAGGCTTCTTAACTAGTATGGATTTATTGAAAACTTTAATGAGAAACAAGGTTTTAAATAGGCTTTCAGGTCGGGCCAGACTTTTAAAAAGGCTAGGTCAGAAATGAGCCTATAGTAGGCCATAGGCCAGACTCAGGCCTTGTAAGTTTATCTTAGGCCAGGCTCAAGCCTTATAAAGCCTAGCCTAGTCTAACCTATTTCCACCCCTACTAGCAGGATACATGACATTGATTAAAGTAACATTTTAATGTAATTTGAATTTTTTTGCTTCTACTGGAAAGATGTCAGACACAATGTGTGGAAGAATGTTTATGACAAGATTAAAATAGTAACAAATAAAATATGAGTAAAGTAAAAGGAAACAAGGAATTGATAACGCGGTTTGGTGTAAATTCACCTACGTCTGGAGGGTATTAACCCAAGAAAGGAAATCCACTCTTAATTGTAAAAGTAGAAATTTGTCTTAGTTGAACCCTTCTAGTTCAAAGTCTTTTTTCTTAATACTACCCGTGAATGTTTTTTAGGACTCCCCATGAATATTGTTGAGAATCAAGTGTGAGGAAGAAGTCCCACATTGATTATAAAAAGGGAAGATTGAGCACTTATAAGTGAGAGAACCCACTCATCTATCACCTTAAGGTTTTAGATGGACAAGTGGTGTGTCTCTCATAAAGGTGTGTCCCAAGTAAAATGCTCTCTCCTCGGAATTGCCCCTACAGTGGTATCATGAGCCTTTGGTTTCGAGATAGGGACCGGCTTACTTGTATCAAGCGGTGGTACAAGTGTATGTGGAAGAGAGTCATTCCACACGAGGGGGGGCATTGTGACTCACACTTGAGGGGGAGTGTTGAGAATCAAGTGTGAGGAATAAGTCCCACATTGATTATAAAAACGCAAGATTGAGCACTTATAAGTGAGAGAACCCACTCATCTATCACCTTAAGGTTTTAGATGAGTGAGTTCTCTCACTTATAAGTGCTCAATCTTCCCTTTTTATAATCAATGTGGGACTTCTTCCTCACACTTGATTCTCAACACTCCCTCTCAAGTGTGAGTCACAATGCTCCCCCTCATGTGGAATGACTCTCTTCTCGGAATTTCCCCTACAAATATGAGACCCCTCTCACTTTCTCTCAAGCATTTTCCCAAGTGTTTGGACAATTACAATATAGTATGACTGATGAACCCAATTACAACTCAAAATCAACTTTATTCCTCTATATAGGAATGACACTTGGGAATAGAGTTTAATAACACAAGCAAACAATAAAAACAAAAGACTTAGTAAACTAACTACACATTGCTTGTTGTCTTAAGGTCTAAGTCTTTTTACATGGATAACTCATCCTTAAATAGAATAGAATTCAGTTGCATGGCCTGTTAGGGTTTTGAACATTTTATGTGGATGAAGCAAATCTAAAAAGCGCAATACATTAATCTCCATTAATTTGATTTGTAATATTTGATATAGTAAATCTCCACCAATCTGATTTGTTCTTTTTAAATCTTGAAAATTATTCATTTGAGAAATCTTTCCATATTTCAAAAAGTGCATAAAATAAACAAATAATAAAGGAAATAATCTTCATTTGGTGCGATATTTACTCAGTGTAGTCTGAATTCTTAATAAAGGAGAATGTTCCTCAATGTGTAGAACACATTTTTCCACATCTTTCCTTTTGGTTTGAGCTCATAGAGACATGATATTTCAACATAATATCATGGCATCTGGTTTCACATGTTGCCTATAAAATTATGCTAATCAAATGTGGATGCTTCAGCTCCTTTGGGACTCATCATTTTGATCAAGTCATCCACCTTGGTCTTTTTGGCTGTGGAGGTAAGAATAACTTCCTGTAATGACTTGTAAACCTACATTAACTCCAACAAAACATGACTGGTGGCAGTACCAGATAGCAAGGGAACCTCAAGTAGTTTTACTTCAGCAATCATATCAAAGTGTTGAATCTTGGGAAGAGAGATGTCTAAAACATGACTTCCAACAAACATACGATAACTAAAATTTAATGGACTTGAACTAACACCAGCAACATCCTCACTACTCAAAATGTTAGGTTTTTGGTTAATAAGAACACCAAATATATAGGATGGAAACATAATGGGTAATTTCACAACAAAGGACTCAGCTTGCTTTAGGATTTGTTCAAACACATACTCACCAAAATCAAAGGCATCCCTAGTTCCTATTTGATAAACCAACCTAGAAAAAGAGGGAGTAATACCTGAACTGTGATTAGTAGAAGCCTAGTTGGAGACTCTCATAATAGAATATTTCACACTCAAAATTGTAGTAGGAAGGAAGCCTTTACTTGGACAATCTTTATAAACCCTACTAATGATTTCTTGAGATATGATCTTCAAGGGAGGAAACTTGGCATCCTTGATCATTTTGCTTCTTCCCAAGTACTCAATTATTATTGTAGGAGAAAATCTGATACAACATCCTCGAACATGCACCTTTATGTAATCTCTAATTCCAGCGTTGTTCAAGTCTTTGGGAATATTAACAATAAACTCATTAACAAGTTTAGGATAGTAGGGGCTAAGGCTTGTCAATGTTTTCATGATTTGAGCATCCTCCAACAAATCTCTTCATATTTTCCTTAGACAATTCCCTCTCGGGCTATCCTCTTGTGATACACATACTTCCACTTCAGAATACTCTCTTCAAAATGGAAAGAAACGTTGTCCAAGGGAGAAATATGGACATTTGTGGGAAACTTCTTTTCACCAAAAAATTTATTATTCTTCTTCAGAGGGGGTTCCTTAATATTATCCATATTATCTTCCACATCTTCTTCAACATCTCCCACCATAGGAGCAATTTTTCTTTTAGGAGTTGTTTTCTTATTTCCTTCAAACTTATCACTGGTTGCTACAACTTTCTTCTTCTTACCAGACACTTCTTTCATTTTGGTTGTCTTCTTTTACTCGAAATAAGTAGATACCTTCTCAGAATGAGTATTCTTAGGCTTACATGTATCTTTCTTCTTATATGCCTTATATTTTGGTTTTCTTTACAAACCTCGTCTTTTTAGTATTGTTATTAACACGATTAACATAGGCTTCATCTGTATGAACCTCAACATTCTCACAAAAAGGGTCTTAATTTTCATCAACATATCATCAAAGTTTCTTCTCACAATGTTCTCAACATTATGTGCCACAGGATTTTAAGGGGTTACGAACCCATCTTCCTTCTGAGTTGGAGAATTTGTCCCTAACATATCAGACTAATTGTCTGGTACATCATTAACAACATCTTGATTTCTCATATTAGTTAACTAGGTTACATCAGCAGTAGCCTTTTAAAATTCTTCCTCTGTGAGGACATCCATTTCAGTTTTAGTCTCTTTTTCCAGTGGTTCTTTCTCCACTTCTTCAACGACTGTCTTCTCACTAGATTCTTTACTACCATTTTCATTATCAGGATTTATTTCTACAAATTATTCAACATCATTATGATGGATGTCAATATTAATGTTGACATCATTTTCAACAACTTCATCTTGAATTTCCAGAGACTTTTCATCTCTAGAGTCCTCAGTCTCCACATGTTTATCATTAAGAATGTCATTAATAAAGGTTTCTACAACTGGAACACCAATGGAAGAGGTTCCTAACGTTTTTACTAAACATATTTTCAATATGTTATCTTCCATAGGAGGTTTATCACATGCATGAAGAGAATCTAGGTTTTGGGTTAGGTTTTTAGAATGAACATCTTGAGTCTTGTGTTAGTTTTGGAAACGTCAACAACATTCTCCGACATATCTTCAATAACATTTTTAGAGGATTTGGCTTTATAAAACTTACATTGAATTGTGTCTGGAATGATTATTTGAAGCGGAGCAACATCAAGAACCTCTTTTGCTGGTTGATCTGCAGGGTTAGTCTGGTTACTAGGAACATCGTTGAACTTAAAGACTTTACTTTCATCATATTTTCCTTGTCATGTAAGATCCAATATGGTTAATAGAACCCTTGAAGTGTGATCACCAACCTTCTTCAGTTTCTTCTTTCTAACCTCTTTTGATGGTTCCATGGTGGGAGGACCTCCAGTCGGACCATCAGCCTTACCTCCTAGAACTACTCCTTTAATTTTAACACAGTGCATGTTGATCACCAGCTTGTCTTCCATAGTAGGCTTCTTGGATTTATTCATTGTTTTATTTTATTTGCTAGAGGTATTTGCTCCTTTCCTTGTTCCAACCATGATTTCACACTTTCTGAGAGGAAGATGAGAGGATTTGCTTAGGTTTAGGGAAATGAGAGTAGAGAGAAGTTATGAGAATATGAATGCTTATTGGAGAGACTTGAAACGCATAATGTAAGAGTATAAGTTAATTTAAATAACATTCATATTAGGAATACTAATGGTCAAGATAAAATCTAGTGCACGTGCCTTGGACATGATGGTTATGAGAGACAAAAGAATGACACAACAACCACATTCCATTTCAGCATTAATTTCTAGAGATTCTCAACAAAATACAAACCTATGGTCTTTCTTAATTTTTCAAACTGAGTAGACTCTAATGCCTTGGTATATATGTCAGCAAGTTGGTTTTATGTTGATATGTGATATAGGGTAATAACCTTTTCTTTAACAAGCCCCCTCTAATGAAATGATGATGGATGTCATTATGTTTCTTTGAAATATGTCTTATTTAGTATTATTTATTTTCTTATTTAAGAGTCATTATATTACTTTTAAGAGTCATTATATCACTACTAAAATAAAGGAGTTGACTTTATATTTTCTCTCCTATAAAAGGAGTCCTTCTTTCCTTTATAATAAAAGAGCAATTATCACCCATATGCTTTTCTACATGGTATCATGAGCTCTGTTAGGGCTAGGGTGATACTGTAAAGATTTCTCTAATGACCTGTTCTTTTATCCGACCTGACCGATCTAAACTATGGTGGACCCCACCCAACACCATCTCCTCCCGGAGGTCGTGGAGGCGGCAGCGCCAACGTCAATTCTGGCGGCACCAACAATTTTGGCAGAGGAAGTGGATTTACCATTTCAGAAATGACCAGTTTCATGACAAACAATAATTTTAACTGTTGATTCGGTTATGGCAGAGGTGATCCCAACAACAACCTTTTTTGGATCCGGTTATTGTTACCCATTTGAAGGTGGTTACAGTAACCTAGGAGGTAGAGGTCAAAATAACTCTCTTCAGGTTAATGTTTAGAAACTGGATGACTCAAACTACGCTGAATGGTCCCAAACTGTTCGACTTATTCTAGAAGGCAAAGGGAAGTTGGGTTTTCTTACAGGTGATGTTCCGGTGCCTGCAACAACACATCCTAATTACATGTTTTAGAAATCTGAAAACTCTTCTATTATTGCTTGGATTATTAATACTATGGAGGTAGGTATGAGAAAAACATACATGTATCTGCCTACAACAAAAGATGTTTGGGATGTTGTAAAACTGTCTTACTCTGATACTAAAAGTTTCTCTCAAATTTATGATCTAAAATAAAAGTTATGGAATTTAAAGAATAATGACATGAGTGTCACTACTTACTATAATGAATTTATGGCCCTTTGGTAATAGTTGGATTAGTTCTATGATTATAACTGGAGGTATACTGAAGACACTGTTCAGTTTATTAAGACGCATGAGAACGACTGTGTATTTATTTTTCTTGTTTGTCTCAACAAGGAACTCAATGAAATAAGAGGTATAATTCTCCGAAATAATCTTCTACCAACTATCCGAGAAACTTTTTCAGAAATCAGAAGGGAGGAGGCTAGACAAAGAGTAATGGTGGAAAAGTCAAACTCAGCAACTGATGGTTCTGCCCTCGTCATAAGCAACTTCAATAAAGACAACAAGAAATATGGTAAGAAAAATGGTAAAATCTTGTGTGATCACTGCGAACGTTATTATCACACACGTGAGACTTGTTGGAAAATTCATGGAAAGCCTCCTAATTGGAAAAAGAAGGGTGAGGGTTGTGCACTTCAAGCAGCTTCTAATCAAGAGCCACAAGCTTTCCCAAATGCATTTCCATTCACTAAGGAACAATAGACCAAATATACAAACTCCCCGAGTCTCAAACATCTTCGTGCTCCATAGCCCATAAAGGTAAATTACCAAAATCAGCCCATCTTAGTATCATTCCTAATTGTACATGGATCATTGATTCTAGAGCCACTGATCATATGACCAGTGAATCCAATTTATTTTCTTCATATAAACCATGTGTAGGAAATTCCAAAATTAAAATAGCTGATGGCTCTCTTTCAGTCGTGGAAGGAAAAGGTTCTATTGTTTTGTCTCCCTTAAAAACCATCCAAGATGTGTTACATGTCCCAAATTTGTCTTGCAACTTATTATCTATCAGTAAGCTAACCACAAATAAAAACTGTCAAGCTCATTTCTTTGATACTCATTGTGTATTTCAGGATTTGATCTCGGGGAGGGTGATTGGCACTACTGAGGAAAGTGGTGGACTCTACTACTTAGAAGATGAACCAAAAACCAAACATCAATTTGGACCAATAATCTTTTCTTCTGTTAAATCCTTTTTTGTTTCAAATAATAAGGATGACATTATGTTGTGGCATTTAAGGTTAGGCCACCCTAGTTTTAAATATTTAAGTTCATTCCTAAACTTTTTGTTGAACAAGACATTTCTTCACTTCAATGTGAGGTTTGTGAGTTTGCTAAACATCATCGAAGTTCTTTTCCAATTCAATCTTATAAACCTTTAAAACCTTTTTCAATGATTCATAGTAAAGTTTGGGGGCCTAATTGAACAAGTACTTTATCTAATAAAAAAAGGTTAATTACTTCCACATATGATCAAACTAGACTTTTTTGGGTATACTTGTTGAAAGAAAAATCTAAGGTAGGCCAAATAATTCAAAACTTTTGTAAATTGGTGCAGACACAGTTTAACACCCAAATATAAGCGTTTAGAACTGACAATGGTACTGAATTTTTACATAAAATTGTTGGACATTTTTTTCTTGAAAATGGAATTGTGCAAAAAAGTTCATGTGTTAACTCACCCCAACAAAATGGAATTTCATAGAGGAAAAATCAGCACCTTCTTGAAATTGCACGAGCACTACTCTTCTTTACCAATGTCCCTAAATATTTATAAGGAGAAGCTGTCTTGACAGCTGCACATTTAATAAACCGTATGCCAGCTGTTGTACCCCAAAACTTTCCATCTCTTTTCTCAAGTCATTTTTCACAAGATCTTCAATAGCTTAAGCTTGTACAAGTGTGGACTAGGTCCAGCCATCTTTGAAACACTGAGACCACAAATTAGGGTTTTGACTGAGAATGACTGATTCTTGACTTTTGACTTAATACATAACTTATTGGTTTGAAACATGATATCAAGGATTAAAGAACATCATTTAACCTAAATTTATGGCTCAAAACATTTCTCATGATCATTGGATTGATAGATGAAATTTGGTCAACTGATACACCAAAAGTCAAACTTTGACTTTTTGGTCAACATTAAGTTTCAAAGATCAAAATTCATCAATACATTCAAGAATATCAAGCTTGATCATCAAGAAATCAAGAAAGACAAAAGTCAATTTGAAAATTCAAACTTTTCAAGACTTAGAATTTTTTTCTAAGTGTTTTCGTACATGATAATTTCATGACTTCATGCCAATCTTTCACCAAGATGCAAGATGATTCAAAGAAAACTTTCAATATGAAAGTTGTAGATCTTGATGAGATCTATAACTTTGCATTTCTGATCCAGTCCTAGAAGTTCTTGGATTTTGAGTTATAAATTCCTGACGTTGTGACATTTTCATCTAACACTCAAATTTTCAACAGATTTTGATCAGGATTTTATCCCAACTTCTTGGCATTTTTTCATAAAGTTCCAAGATAATTTTGTCAAAATGGCCAAATTG